GTGTAAATGGGCCTTAAAATGTAGCTAAACTAGAAGAATTAGACCATGTACATGCACCTGTTGCATCATCATTTACAGTGTGTCGCAGAAACTGGTTAGGCATCAGAGTTTTTAAATTATGTCAAGAAATTTAGCAGAAGGCAGCACTTTCCTTGCGATGGTAACGTCTAGTTAGGCAAATATTTTTAAGTGGTGACATGATATCCAAAAACGACAAGGTATTTCCCCTCGAAATCGAAAGCGGAATCAAATTAATGCTAATACATACGCAACACATTTACTTCTGTTCAGAAATTTTACTTCTCGTAAAAATGCCAGATATTGATGTTGTGACTCCTCAAATCTCGGTACCAACGCCAAAGAGTCATATCTTTAACGGCTTCCTCATTGATCTTGGTCGAATGTTCAAAAAAGACGACTTGAACGAACTAAAATTTGCGTTAGACGATGCTATTCCTGAAGGCGACATGGAAAAGCTTGCTGAGCCAATCGATGTATTCAAAGCTCTCAAACGACTTGGTCTACTTGGACCAGCGAAACTGGATGTACTTCGTGGATACCTTGAAGTCATTGATAGACCAAACATGATAAAGAAGCTTGATGAATACGAAGACGCTGACACAAAATTTCCATTAAAGCCGAGATCAGACAACCGTCTCGAGAAAGGTGGTTATAGTGTTGCAATTAAAGGTGGTCGTCATTTCGAGACGAGTCAGGGAGAATTTGTTGAAATCAGAAGTGGCTCACACTACGGCTTGAATGTGGTCAACCAAAACAACCAGAAGTGCATAATCAACGTTCAGATTGACGGTTACGAAATGTTTCCGAGCGGATTTATATTAAGCCCGAAAGGAGAGTTTACGTTTGAGCGACCGTCAAGAATAGCCAAAAAGTTCAAATTCTTTGCAATTCGTGATGCACCGACCGAATCCGGTATCAATAAATGGCGTCAAGATATAAATGGCCTAATAAAAATCACTTTCACTCCTGAAAAAGCAGATATGAAAATCACTTGCGTAGTTTCTGGATCTGGAACTCAAACCATATCTTGTTCGGCAGGCGTTACTGATACTGAGTTCCTTCAAATGGTCTCCGAATTATTCGACAACGCCGTCGTGACCGTGATTATCAATAAATGGAAACCTTTGGGGAAAAGAGGGGCAAAACTTATTGATTATGGTATCCATGATGGATCGCGTGTTGACGTGAATGTTGGTGGAATTGGAGGAGTATTCTACACAGGTCTTGGCAGCAGCATTAAAAAAAATGCATCTCCTAAGAAAAATGTTGAGTGGAGAGCTGGAGCAACAACGTTGGAAGACGACAGTGATCAGAAATTTGGAAGCGGGAACAGTTTTCCAACTGACCCGTCGCTGGCCGTGACCCTAAACCTACGTCTTGTTGCTCGTGAAAATGAAATACCTTTACCATCAACAGGGAACGCAACCCCTCTCGCAAATGCTACCCTCATCCCTCCACCTGTCCAGAACTGAAAATACCACACTGTTGCGTCTTGTGAACATTGATTTGATTTGAATATACTGCACTAATAATGGCTTGTGAACTTTGTCTAATATAAAATGTGTCAACTATTACCCATATAGAAACTGATACTTTAATATCACTGCACGAACTGTATTGATTCAATGGTGAACTTGAAATTATATATGCCCTTTATAGAGTATGCACAATGACTAGTTTAGCAATATTTGATTTCAAATGACATAAAGTTTCACTTTTAATTAAGTAGTTTTTACTAAGTTTTATTTCCGTGTTTATATAGTAGGAATTTTCTATGCCTATGTAAATCTATAGCATGTTACTTTTATAATCAATTGTTGTAACAATGGGGTAAACTGAACGTAAAGATTAAACTTCCTGGATATAGCTGCTTAACAACATTTCAAATTTTTGTTTTATTTGCTAATTGGTTTTGCATATGGTCACTGTGGCCAAAATTTAGCGACTTCAAAATCCAATTTTGTCTTACTACATGTACTCTATAAAATTTGATTACTATCGTGGACAATTTAACCAGGATTCCTCATTCCTGGTTATTTTAACCAGGCTAAATGGTTAAATTAACAAGATTTATTTATGTTAGGTACGGTGGACCATTAACCAGGAATTGTTGCTTAATAGTCCACAAAACATAATCTTGTTACAAGGCAATTTTTTTCAATGTCGCGTATTTGCCATGGAAAGTGTTCAAAACCTAAAATCTTTTTGGCGTTCCTCTCAAAATTACTTTGTTTTAGCTTTATTTTGTAGTTTACACAGTTAGCAACCTAGCTTTTAAACGTATCTGGCGGTTGAGAAACATAAAATACAGTATTAGTAAAAAATTGTCAATTTAAATACAATTATCATTAATACTGTAAAATTGACGCCAAACTTATACAGCGATATAAGCAAAACTTAGTCAACTTCAGACATCATTTTCTCTTTGGCGTACCCATCTAAAACCTCTTCATTTTAGCATAAATTTACAGATAAAGCATCAAACATACTTTTTAAGTTTGTTTGCCGCTTGAGAAACGTATCTAACAACCAAGTGGAAAAGCATATTCATTAGTTTTGATCACGTATTACGTGACATACAAAACCAGTGAACTGTAATAACACTGGAACGCGAACTGCAGGTAAACATGCCCATACTTGCCCGAAGTCAAGATGGCGCTCCTCGCAAGCTCAGCGAGCAATAAATTAACTTTCAAAAGGACTGGGGAGAGTTTCGAGGAGCGGGAAATTCAGTCAAAAGTTTGTTTTTGAGCGAAAATCAGCAAGAAAAAGCACTTTTTTATCGAAAGTCTTCAACTTTAAA